TCTAGGAGATCTGGGCTAAAGCAGTCACTTATATTTAATTTAAAATTTATATTGTGAAAAATTTCAAACATATGAAAGCTGAGGAAAAAGTCCAATGAACTATACATTTATCACCAGATATAATAATTTTTGTCACATTTATGTCATCTTTCCTTCCATCCTCCCTCCCTCGCCCTCTCTTTTCTCCTTCCTTCTTTCCTTCCTTCCTTCCTTCCTTCCTTCCTTCCTTCCTTCCTTCCTTCCTTCCTTTTTTCCTTCCTTCCTTCCTTCTTAAATGTATTTTAAAGCAAATACCAGCCAGTGTGTCATTTAACTTCAACATATTCTAGAATGTCTCTGAAAAGATGATGGACATTTTCTTACATAAATACAATGCCATTAATACACCTAATAAAATAATAGTATTTATTTGACGTTGTCTGACAATAGTGCACGGTCAAATGTCCATGATTAACTTATAAGTCTTTTTACTGCTGTGATGTTTCAATTAGGACCCAAACAAGTTTCATACTTTACATTTGATTGCTACATGTCTTTAATCTAGAGCTTCTCTCCATCCTTTCCCTCTCCTTTTTGTGCTTTTACTAATTTGCTGTGAAGATGACGTCAGTTGTCTTATAGACTGTCTTATACTCTAGATTTATCTTTTTTTTTCTTTCTGGTATCATTTAACTTGTTCCTCTAACATTCATGTTTCCTGCAAGTCTGTGAGTAGGAAGTCAGTTTTAAGGCTTGATTAGATTCTGTTTTTGACTTTGTTTTGTGTTTGCAGGAACACTTCATGGGGGTGCTGTGTGCTTCAGATGACATCAGACCAGAAGGCACACAATGCCTGGAGTCCCATTTGTAGCAATACTTAGATTATTAGATGGAGGTAGTGACACCCTGATCTCCGTTTTAAAGTATGCCATTGATCTTTCATGAATGGTTTCAGCCATTGATGGTTACTGACTGAATCATTTATTTCACAAAGGATTGCTAAATTTCGACTTTCCAATTCTATTTTTTCTTTCACATTTATTATCAAAAAAAAAAAAAAAACCACAAAAAAAACAAAACCCTTCCCCTGAACAGCTATTTGATTTTCTGAAATACAGCTCAGCAGGAAAGGCAAGGTGAGTAATAATACTTTTCCTTTCTTTTCTTTTCGGTAGAATAAGGAGATAGTGCCCTAGTTGCTTGCAAAAGTGTGCAATCAGTTGTTCTGTTTTTGTTGTCGTTGTTGTTGTTGTTGTTCTTGTGTTTGGCTTCTCATCTTTGGAGTATCATTAAGTGCTTATCGATTTTTATATATGCAATATGTTTAAAACAATTACATTCATTATTTTTGCTGGTGCTCAAATTGTCCATTTTTGGACAAAGGGATTCTGTAGTTTTGGTGTCTGTGACCTTTTGACACCCTTATTTGTTGTAAATGAATTCATTGTCTTCGTGGCACAAGATATTCCACACTTATCATCTAGATATCCTGCCCCAGACCTGAAATTAGACATTCCTCTGGGGAGGTGGTTTCTTTTTCTTTAGTTTCTTTTAGTTGGAAATTATATCTAAAAACCCCAAATGAGTGAATTACATTATTTTATTTGTACTAAAAATGAAAGCTTATCTATCTAAAATTTTATGTTAAGGCAGTAGTTTTAGAACCTGGTATTTATTTAGGTAATAAGTAAAACTGTAATTGCTTGTCTTATTTTTATTGTAATCTCACTTTAAAATTATTTATATAAAAGGAAATGCACACTTTTCATTATAAGTACACCTAAACTTGAATCAGTGACTGTACAACGCTGTTTCACTTTTCCAGGTGGCATAATTTATATTCAAAATTTCCCAGAAAGTTTGAAATGACAGATATAAATGGAATCTCAAATGTTTTCATATGTATTCAAATAAGAATATCAATTTCGTCGGAGTTGGTATAGTAAAAGCTTTGAAAACACTTTTAGAAATGTGAAGGTTTGATGTGAGCTGTCAAATTTGAGTTTTAGCTTGGAATAAGTGAAGGGCTATAATTTCAAGTGTTAACAGAGTCTGGTGTGGGAAATGCATGATATTGAAATAAATAAATGCAATAATGCTATTTGGCATCAACTCAAAGTGAGATCAGAGGACACTTGGGATTACTGAGACCCTTTTTAGAGGCTTGCAAGGTCTTGCCTTTTTCAGCTATGAATTTGAGCAAGTGCTGCTTTTCTTCATACTATCTTAGCTGTAACAACGTATCACAACAGACTGACTGCAGAAGCAGATATGGAAATTCACTTGTTTCTCTTAACACTGATGGTAAAGAGATTTGCAAAAAATGTAAAATCCATTTTCTAAGTTTTAAAAAATGGAGTCATTATTTTAAAAATGCTCATTATAGTAACATGTGGTGAGTTTATTATTTAAAAAATGAATTAAGCAAATATTTAAAAATTTTCTGTCTTAATTTTTAATACAGTATATATAGACATATATATCCCATACAAACAAAAGCTCTTTAAAGTTCTTGTTAATAATATAAAGAGATCTTGAGACCAGAAAGTTCGAAAACCTCTTTGACATCTCACACTATTTGCTTACTAATTGTAAGTCTGTATGAATATAAATTGATTCGAATATAAATATATTCATAGAATTTGTAAATTTAATTATTTTGGGTTAACCTTACTTAGATACTTCCTTGAATATTAGACATGTCTAACCATAACTTAATTTTGTACCTTAGTTAGGAATGCATGTATGGTTTATTTTCTCTCTGATGACACTAATGCCACATGGAGGCTTGTTCTAATATAAGAAGATAAGAAGACAAATCATTATATTTCAACCACACACATAAAGCCAAATATTCAGTTTAGAATTTAATTCATGGATTTAAAGAAAATGGGGTGTTCGTTTTTAATAGACTACTTTTTGTGTAGTTTCACAGAAAAATTAAGCAGGAGGTATAAAGAGTTCTAATATCTCCCCTGACCCCACATTTACACAGCTTTCTCAACTATCAATATTCCAGCAATAAAGTGATATATTTGTTACAACTGATGAACCTACATTGACACATTATTGTTACCTGGAGTGATGGTTTCCATGTGTCACCCAGATAGTATCATAGAGAGTATTTTCACTGACCTAAAAATCCTATGTGCTCTGCCTATTCCTCCCCTGCCCTCTTGCCCCTCAACCCTTGGCAACCACAGATCTTTTTATTGTCTCCATAGTTTTACCTTTTCCATAGTGGCCTATAGTTGGCATCATATGCTATACTACACAGCCTTTCCAGATGACCTCAGGTTCTTAAGCACATTTGATGAATCTTAGTGACAAAGTCTGGTCATACTTAGCAACACTTTTTGTATGTTAATTAATTTGCATTATAATAAAAATCACACATTCCTGTCTCCATTGTTTATTCATTTACATTCCAATTCAGACTGTCAGCTCTTAATGGCCAAGAACTCCCTCTATTTAATTTGATTAATCATCCAAATTGATTTTTAATTATTAGCGCTGCTAACCTAAAAAATAAAACAGTTACATTGTCAGAAAAATGGTTTATTCAGGAATAGCAGAGAATTGCAATTTGGGATATGCAAGCTATAGCAAAAAACACAGGCAAATGCAACAAAGGAGAGGATTGTTATTTTATAATGAAGGAGGAGTCAGAAGGGTTGTTTTGAATGTAAGTCCACTGGAGAAAAGCAAGAGTTCAGGATGATAATGGTTTCTTATTGGCTGGGTTGCAAAGGTAGCCTATTTGTGGTAGGAAATGCAATGTACAACTTTCTCTGTTAAGGACTGTCGTTGATGATTCTTTCCTGTGGAGGATTGCTCTGTTGGGGTCTGTAACTGACGTGGTGTGGGTGGTACAGCTGCAGCCTCCCAACTCCACTTTAGTGAGGTTTCCCTTTATTGATTTTCACAATGCCAATAGGACCTAGTCCAATTTATAAATAGGTTCTCACTGCTATTTGATAAAGGTGGGACTCCCATGCAGTTAAGTGCTCATGGAATTAAATCCTTAAGCATTGGCAGAGAAAAGCTTGCCCTACAGTAATTATTTCAGTGATGAATGAGAAAAACTACAGAGTTGGCACATACCCTCTTTGCAGGAAAGCAATGTTATTCTCAGGAGACTCTAGGAGTTTTAGTTATCAGGTGGTTTGAGTCTCTGAGTAGGTTGTTAAACCTTTAGAATTAATTTTAAGCTATAGTCCCAGAGCATCTGGTACTAACATTTATATTAAATGATTTGAAAATGCACAGAGTAGTTTGTCAGCATTCGGAAGAATGAAAAATACAACAATAATAAGGCATATAATTGGGGGAGGGATAAAAGAGAGAATAAGTGTTTTATATCTGTTTGGTAGCTCTAGGTTCCACTTTCTTTGTGGGTTGTCATAACCCTGTAAGTTGAAGACAAACGCTTAGGAATGAAATTCCAGCTTTCCCAAAGTAAACCACCTGTTTTGGATTATTCCTTTTGGCTTGCCTAGAAATAGTTTCCCTGTGTGCGCTTTAGTAGAAAAAACGCAATAACGGGAGTCCAGAGGGGGAGCACTCAAAAGGCTCTTTGCCACTGTAGCTGTGCACTCCAAGCCGCTGCTGGGGTCTCCGTTTCCTGACCTATTTGAAAGGGGGGGGGTGCTGAAGACACAGTTTCATAGAGTTTCAGCTCTCTGTCGTCCTCTCTGCCATTAGTACGGTGCAGAACTTCGAGTAAGTGCTCAGTTATTGCTTGCTGAATGAGTGTTATTTTTTAATCCGTTGCAAATCCATACCGGGATTTGGGCCTAACCCAGGCTGGCGCGGCCGGGGGGCGGTGGGAGGGGGAGGAGGCGGCACCGGGTTTCCGCGGGGGGCGGAGCTTCGCGCAGCTCCCGCGCGCTGGGGGATGGGGCGGAGCTTGCCGCCGGTGGGGGGCGGGGCCAGCGCGGGGACTTCCCCTGGGCTGAGCTGCGCAGCGGGTGCGGAGGGCGGGAGCGCGGTGGCGGTTCGGGGGGCTCTGTGAGGCGGGGGGGGGGGGGCGGGCGCGCAGCCGCCGACCCCTGGTGGTCCCCCGGGCTTGGGTCCTTTCCGGAGGAGTCGGCTGCAGGCGGGGAGGGAATTGCTGGGAGGCTGAGAGCTGCTCGGCCGCGAGTCCTGTGGGGTCGCGAGCATGTGTACGTGCGCGTGTTTATCTAAGGCCCCGCGCGGCGGCCGGCACAGTCGCCTATCCTTTCGGCTAACTATGGTGGCTCCTCGGCGCCTAACGACGGCGACACGTAGCCGGGAGGCGGCTAGCTCCTCCCCGCCAAGTGGGCACCCCTAGATCGCGCCCGCTCCTTGTCACCCCCCCCCCCCCCCAGGGGACAACTCCGGCTCCAAGCCCTGGCCGTGAGGGAGCGCTGTGGGGACGCGCTGCCCTGCGCCTTGAAGTGTTGGGCAGGTGGTGGGAGTTCCTGAGGCTTCAACATCAGGATTTTAAAGCACCTGTCTCTGTCATTTTTACTTTTAGGGTTTTGGCCAAATTGGGCGAGGGCACAAAATAACCACTTACCCCTTCTCACCGAGGAAGAACGGGAGAAAGGGTAAGTAAGGAATGATCAGGGGTGGAAGGAGCTAGGACTATATAAGAAAGAGCAAGGGAGACAAAAACCGAGAGCCAGAACTGCCCCTGGGGGATGTGCGGGCCAAATTCTACCGTTATCATCAGGAAGCCGAGGCCCACCTTCAAGGCTCACACACTCCAAACCCGAAAGTTTTCTCAGGCCTAGAGCCTGTAGAGCTGGCTGGGAACTTGACAGCTTGGCATAGATCCCTTTTAGCTACTTGACCCGACAGCTTTCTGTCGTTACCCTTCCCGTCTTTGGAACGTTGGTCTTGCAGTTGTCTGCCTCCCCACCATGGCGCTCTCTAAGCTAGCTTTGATTAATCCCCCAGACTGTAGTCATTAAACAATCATGGCCCTGCTTGATTACTGACAGGGACCCACCCACAGATTTTTTTTTTTTTTTAAGAGACTTCTGTAAAAATTCTTTAGAACGCCAAAGGGTAAAAATAATATCGTAACTGTTGAAATTCTTTTGGGATCTTCTCTCAAGCTCACAGAGGAAGGTTTTGTTTTTGTTTTTGATTTTCGATTTTTGGCGTGGGGGTGAAATTACCAGGCAGGGCCATTTTTCCTTGACTTTGATACCCCTTCACAAATACTCTCTTCCCTTCTGAAAAGTGGCCAAACAGCACACTGAAACCCTCGGAGGTTTGCTGTGATTTTCAGTGTGGTGACTTACACTGGTTCTTTTGTGCAAATCTTCCATCACTTTCCATCCTTCTACCTTCTTACTGGAATGAAACACAGCTCCTCTCAGAACATTGGGAATGCCTTATGCATCCTATGTGTCCCATGTAAACAAGTGTTTTCAGTTAGTTAAAATTCAGGTTAGCCCCAAGCAAGAATGTAGCAAACCATTCTGGGATACTTACACAGGACAGCCAGAATTGCCTTCTGTGGCAACTTGGCCCTGCCTGCCTGTACCCTTAACCTGCCTTCTTACTTGTCTGTGTATATGGCTCAGATAGCCATATACATAATGTATGAAATGTTTATGGATGATGGGTTCATTCATTAGTGCAGTGGATATTTATTTATTATCTTTTCCTACCAAACGACCGAGCACTGATGGATAAGTTGGATGGTAAGAATGATGATCCTGTGTTGGAAATGGCCATTTGGGGCAGGCCTTTCATCAGTTTTCTGTGGATTTTCAGAATAGTTAAGTGTTATTGTAATAGACCTTCCCTATACTATTGAGCTTAGTCTATACAGTGTTGCGGGTGGACAGTGCTATTTTTCTGCCTTCTAGCACGTTCAGTGGTAAACTTTCAAGGATTACTGACGTGGTGATTTATGTCCTTTTTTAGAATAGTGTTGTTACTGGACAGAGAATCAGTTCTGAACTCAGGTTAGGCTGCTGACTGCTTGAAAATCGATACTTGAGAGACAGGTGATGGTGGCAAAGGAAAGATTGCTTTATTGAGGAAGCTGGCAACCTGGGAGGATGGTGGAGTAATGTCTCAAAGACCATCTTCCCAGTCCAGGTGCAGCTGGAGAGTTTTTAAGGGGAAGGTGTGAAGAATGGGGAGAGGGGGCATTCTGATTGCCACATTCAGGAGAAGCTGGCGCCTAGGCGGTTAGTTGTGTGTCGACATGACCCTGAAGAGGCTCGTTGGCATCGGTGGCAGCTGTTTTCTAATGTGATTAGGTGTTATCTTCTGGGAAGGTTTGGTTCTTCACTCCTCAAGGCCAGCGGTTTGCAAATCTCCAGGAAAAGTAGGTTAGTTTGGCTACAGACCAACGGACTTAGGTCAGCAAGCACGAAGGGCATAAGCTTGAGGCAAGTTAACCCTTAAGAGTGGTTGGAGTGCTGTTACAGTGTTATAGTCATTTTCCAGTGTAATAAGTGTATTGTACCAGTATAAAAATTACATGGGGATAATGGTTTGAATTGTTGCATAAAGATAATGTAAGATGAGAAAATATGGAGAGTGTTATGGGGGATTCACTTAAAGAAAGTAAGTACTAGGCTGGTCACCTGTATGAGTTTCTGGTATATTTAACCTCATTTTTTATTGAAGATGACTTTTTCTGGTTACATAAGGTTAAAAATGAATCTTGCAGGGATATGAAAGATGGAAAGCAAGTCTCTTAAGAGCCTACTCTTAGATGAACCTTCTCAACAATTTGTGTCTATTTCTTCAACTATTTGTTTCATGATTATGTGTTACTATTTGGCCTTCTACCTCTATGTTCTTGTCTGTGTACCAGGCCAATCCTCCTGTAGAAGTGGCATGGCTTTTAGATTCTTCTAGACATTGGCTTGAGTCCTGGCTCTTATCTCATAATCTCTGCGACTTTGGACCAGTTAAAACTTTGCTCCCTAACGTCTCACCTGTCAAAACAGAACAATGAGTATATTTAAAAATGTGTGAAAAAACAGCGTCTGGCATATAGATACTAACTGTTAACTTCCCTCCTTTTTTATCTGGTCAACCATCACATTCTTCATGATCTTCTTTGCTATTTAAGTAAGGTATCTCGTATTTCACTTTCCTGAAGGTGGATGTTTGCATTTTCACAGTCACCACTTGTTATATCTGATCCTAGAATTTCTGGGACAAGGACTGACCCCTGACGTGGCTTGAATTCCCCCTATGAAATCATTCCACAGCTATGCCTATAGAGTGTCAGCTTGAAAAATGAAGGGAAAGGGTTTCTATAAATGTGTTTATAAAGCTCTGACACTGTTCCTAACGTGGGAAAGACATACCACCGCATTTAGCTGAGTGCTTAAATTTAGGATTTCTATTTCAGAAATGTCTTTGGTTTATAAGAATTACAATAAAAATACTGATGCTACATGTCCAAACTGTCATGATTTTGCCAAGTTGTGGGTTTAATATACAGCTAAGCTGTGTATTTAGTGTATCTAATACAGCTCTGGAAGCCAAGAAAGACAAGTCCACAGACATCAGATTTTACACCAGACATCTGGCTTCACTTCGCTAAGGAGTACATTTTGTCAGTAGATTAGAGGCCTATCTGCTCTAGTTGGTGACATTGTATCATCAGCTCTGGTCTGTAGGGTTTAGTGTGATGTTTTATTCAAATGACAGCACATGCTAAATGGGCACCTGGTCAGAAAAGCACACTTCCCACAGGTGTGTTCTGGTGTCGTTGCTCTTACAAGTTAACGAGGTAAAATAGTTTCTATCCTTGGTGATTTTTTTGTGGAAAAACATATTCTTGTATTCCAGAAATTCATTTCCAAGTCCATTTTTGTTTGCAGTGTTGAACGGTGTACTTACAGAAATCGAATAACAAATAGACTTTAGATTTTCAGATCAGGACCCCAAAAAGCTATTTTAACTCATTGTATACCCATTATGTATCAGTGGTACTATAGACTCTAGCCAACATTTATAATAGGGTTTTGGAGAATAATATATTCTGAGTTCCAGTCTAGAATAGCGGAACCACATCCCTCATTTTGAGGCAGTCCGGAATATAGAAATACTCTAGATGCTGTAACTTCTGGGTTTTCAAGTAGGCTCTGTGATTGCTTAGCTGTGATCTTGGATACAAATTTTTTATCTGTAAAATGGAATAATTGCTCATGATTATTGTGAAATTTAGTGAGCATTTGTAAAGTAGCACAATATCTGGTTCAAAATTAGCCATCAGTAAATAGTAGTTTCATTTCTTCCCTCTCGGTCCTGGCCACCAGAACAAAGGTTACCAACCCCCTAACCCCCACCTTCGATCTCAGAATAATCCACTGGCAGGATTTGTGGCTCCAGCAGAGAGACATTACCCCTGGAATCTGGAATTTAGTAGTGGGGGCTGAGAAAAGGCTATGGAGAATAATGACAAAAGGGAGGAGTGGTGAACTCACAGAGGAAGGTGCCAGTTTTTGCTCAGTCCATGGACTTAGGTTGATGAATTACTTGACTGGTAGAAAGAACCACCTGTATCTCTGGCCTTTCTGTTGATCTTTTGTCAGCTGCTCCATTGGAGATTCTTACCTCCTTATTGATGCTTAGTCCAATTATAGCTTCTTTCTTTCTTTCTTTCTTTCTTTCTTTCTTTCTTTCTTTCATTACCTTGATATTACCTGAATAATCATGTATTTCTATTTTTTTTTTTTTTAATGGGTGGGACTTAATAATAGATGTCTGTACTTCCTAAAGATCTGGTCTGTTACTTTGGTTTAAAAATTTAAAAATTTTCTTTTTATTTTTTTTTAATGTTTATTTATTTTTGAAAGAGAGACAAAGTGTGAGCAGGGGAGGGGCAGAGAAACAGGGAGACACAGATTCTGAAGCTGGCTCTAGGCTCTGCATTGTCAACACAGAGCCTGATGCAGGGCTTGAATCCATGAACCATAAGATCATGACCTGAGCTGAAGTCAGATGCTTAACCAACTGAGCCACCCAGGAACCCCCGATCTGGACTTTTGAAATCCAGTTGATCTTTTTGTCCTGTCATTAACCATTTTTTTTTTTTTTTTTAACTATATGCCATTGCATTGAACTAGTGCTGAGGCTATAGAGATGAAGTCACTGTCCTTGATCAAGGATCTTATAGTTTAGTAGGACAGTAGACATCTTGGCTAACAGTTCAAATATTGTGTACTGTTTGCCATAACAGAGGTATAAGTGCAAAGGAAGGCTAGCAGGAGCTCTTGATCCCTGATGGGAATGTCATGGGAAGATTTTAGCAGTGGTTGTGTTTTGAACTGAACCTTGAAAGCGGAGTAGAAGTGGGCAGGTTGACAAGCAGGAGAGAGCATTTCCACATGGGGCTCATAGCCTGAATAGTTGTATGGCATTACGAGGGCATGTTGCGTTCATGGAACTATATATAGGTCAGTTACATTAGGGCAAAGTCAGGAGTGAAAGGAGATGAAACTGGATACCTAGGTCAGGGCATACTTTCTATGCCACGTGCGGCATTGTGAGCGACATGAAAGGTCACCTTGAAAGCGAAGTGCCGGGTAGATTGGGGGTGGAGTGACGTGCTGGGTGGGGA